CTCCTTCTGGGCCCCGGGGGCGAGGGACGGAGGCGGCGGGGGCGCAGCGGGGAGGGGGCGCGGGCCGGGCTGTCCCCGGCGGCGCTGCGGCGGGGCCGCTCCGGGCCGCCCGCCCCGACGCGCCGGGACCTGCCCGCGCGCCGCTGCCGCTGCCGCTCCCGCCCCCCGCGCCCGGCGCGCCCCCTCCTCACCGCCTGCCCGGGCCGGGGGAGGCGGGCGACCCCAGCCCCCTCGGGCCCGGTCCGCGACGGGAGCCCCCCAGAGACCCAGGTGTCCGCGGCGCGTCCCGACCCCCGTGGGGGACCCCTGCCCCGGCCTGGCCCGGGGCTTGGTCTGCGCGGGGCCCGTCCTGACGTCCCGGCTCGGACCTGCCCCTGCCCGCTGTCCGCTGTCCCCTGCGCCCTGTCCCCTGTCCCCTGCGCCCTCCAGGACACCTTCTCCCCGTCCCTGCATCCGCGCGCTGCCCGGGCCCGTGTCTGCTCCCGGGCGGGCGGCGTGACTGCCGGGGCGCCTGGAGTCCCCCAGCGGGAATGAGACCCCCATCCCGGACCCCCATCCCACACACACGGTCCTCAGAGCTCAGGCTCCACACTCCTCCGTCCCGCGTGGCGCCCCCCGCGCCCACCCCGGCGGGCCTGAAAGAGGACCCCTGGGGTCACACCTCACCAGGCCCGGCTCGGGGGAGGCCTGGGTCCCTGCTCTCTGAGCTGGCCTGTGCCACCCATGGGCGCGCAGCGCTCTGACTGCTTTGACTTACTCACTTCCTCCCTCCCCCCATGCTGATTCCCTGGGACACAGGAGACCGGAGGCCTATGAGCACACCTCCCCCACCCGCAACAGGACACGGGCGCGCGCACACACACACACACACAGACACACAGACACACACACACACACACACACACACACACACACACACACACCTTGACCTTGTTTGGGGAAAGGGGGCAGGAGAGGAGCTCAGGCCTGCCTGCACCCAGGCCCGGGTTTTGAGCTTCCCAGAACAGTCCAAAGATGTCTCCGACCCAGGAGGCTGTGGCTCTGGCCCCAGCTCCGTGTCCTGCGCCAATGTTACTGTCCTCTCCTGGTATCGGGCCGGCTGGGGGTGATGAATGAGGAGGCCCCGTCCGCCCCCCTCCCCACCTTCCACGCTGCCTCCTCCTCCCTCCGGGCCTGCCCCCCCACCCCCCTGCACCCCGGGGCTATTAGGGATGATGTTTGAGTGGTTATTCATAATCACCCCCTTGTGGCTTTCATCTTTGACTTCAAAGTCATTCCAGCCCTCGGTCCGCCTCCTGCCAAGAAGAGGGAAATCGAGGCAGGAGGAAACAGATACACGGAATCTGGTCCGTGAGACAGGACCCAAGGGTCCGCGACTGTCCCCTCAACCCCTTTCCAGGCATTTCTGGGGAGGGAGGAAGGCCCAGAGGCCTGAAGAGGAAAAGGCAGGAGCTGGCGATGAGATTTCAGGCCTGCGGGTTTCTCTCAGAGCCTCGTGGCCATTTTCCTTTTGCTGCTTCTTCTTCTTTTTTTTTTTGTTTCTTTTGGTTTTTTAGGCCACACCTGGCTGTGCTCAGGGCTTACTCCTGGCTCTGTGCTCAGGGAATCACTCCTGGCGGGCTTGCGGGACCATGTGGGGTGCCGGGATCGAACCCCGGGGTGGTAGGTAACGCAGTGGATGCTTTTACCCGCTGTGCTATGGCCTGGCCCCCTGGTCGCCATCTTCCCACAGGCAACCCTGTGCTCCTCCCCACCTCGGCCTGAAAACCTGCTTGCACCCCTGATCCGGTGCCTCTCCTGATCTTCCCAGCATCTGGCTAGCTCTGCAGACCAGCACCAAACCACACCCTACCCGGCCCTTTTGCCTGGCTCCAGTTCCTCCCCAGAAGCAGCCACTCCCCAGGCCAGCTCATGGGGACACTCCCATGCTTCCTTCGCCACCACCAGGGCCCAGGCTCCCGGCCGCACCTCAGATGGCCCTAGGGGGTGGCACTTGGCCAGAATTTCAGGGGGAGAGTGGAAGGACAGGGCCCGACCTCGGCAGGGTAGGAGTCAGCCCCGCCGTGGCTGGGAGCTGCAGGGAAACCTCTGCGGGATTGTCCCGCCAGGGGTCCGGTGAGGTGCAGAAGGGGCAGGCGGACTCCACCTGGGGGTCTGAGAGGGCACTGGGAGCTTTCTCTAAAGTGCTTGGCAGTTCCCCACAGAGCCGGGTGGGGCTTGAGCTGCTGGAGGTGATTACTCTGATGAGCGTCCCTTGGAGTGGCCTGTCCCAGCCAGGCCCAGAGCCTGCACGCGCACACAGACACACACACACGGGCCAGAGCGATAGCACAACGGGTAGGGCATTTGCTTTGCATGCAGCCGACCCAAGTTCGATCCCCGGCATCCCATACGGTCCCCCAAGCACCGCCAGGAGTAATTTCTGGGTGCAGAGCATTGCTGTGTATGACCCAAAAAGCAAAAACAAAACAAAATACATACACAAACACAACACACGCACTACAAGCACACACACATGTACATGTACACACGAGCATGCACACACAGGCGTGCGCACACATACACACACACACACACACACACACACACACACAGGCCAACACCCCTCCGCCCCAGCTCCCAATCGCCTGGGCCCTCACCTAACCAGATGTCACCAGCCCTGCGTCTCCAACCTCATTTCCTGCTCCCCAGCCCTTATTAAGGTCCCTCCCCCCCCTCTTCCTTCCCCTCCCCAGATGAGGATATTCTGGGCTCGCAGCTCAAAGCCAAGCTCTGCTCTCTGGTTGAACGAGCCCCCCTCTCTGCGCTGGCTGGCACCATCTACAAGGACTTATTAATTTTTTTTACTTTGTTTTCTTGGGGGGGGGCACCCCCGGCAGTGAGTGCTCAGGGCTTATTCCTGGCGCTGTTCTCAGGGGTTTTACTCCCAGAGGGGCTCGGGGGGCCCCGGGGGGTGCTGGGAGCCCACCCCCGGCTGGCCCCGTACAAGGCAGGTGCCCTCCCTGCTGTTTCTCTGGCCGACCTTCTCTGAGCTGCCTCGGGGCCCCGCCAGCCCCTTGCACGGATTCCTGCCACCCAGCAGCCCCGCCAGGCAGGGACTGTTGTTTGGATTCGACAGATGACAAACAAACAGGACCTAGAGCCCCAGCAGCCCGTCAGTGGCACAGCTGGGAGCTGTGGCGCCCCCCCCCCCCCCCAGGCGCTGCGGGCTGCGGGCGCTCGGGAATTGGCAAGGACAGTTCTTCTCCGGCAGGGACCGGGGAGTGGGGCGCCTGGGCTTCCCGACACCGCTCGGCCCCTGAGCTGCCATCTGCCGGTGCTGGCAACTCAGGCCTGGGGAGGGCGCCCCAATATCACCCTCTAGCTGGGAGACAAGACCCGAGCCTCCCAACCGTTGCTCTCCTTCCTTCCTTCCTTCCTTCCTTCCTTCCTTCCTTCCTTCCTCCCTCCCTTCCTTCCTTCCTTCCTTCCTGCCAAGCTCCTTTCGCCCCTTCCTCCCACTGCCTCACCTCATCACCTCCCTGCCTCCTCCTCGGGGCTCTGGCCACTGGGAAAGAGAAGCCAGCCACCCACAGCCCTGGGGAAGTGAGTGGCCTCGTTTCCCTCTGCCGGCTGGGGGAGGGGGGCTGGGGGGGCGTTCCCCCTTCCCTCTCCTGGAACAAGACAGAAGTGTGTATGTGTGTGCGTGTGCGGGTGCGTGTGTGTGCGTGCGTGTGTGCGTGCGTGCGTGCGCGTGTGTGTGTGTGTGTGTGTTCGGATCCCTGCTTCAGATTAGCCCTGTGTAGCTGGGAAGCAGTCTGTCTCACCGCAAGACAGACCTGGGTGGAGACCCCCGGTCTGGGCCAGGGAGATGCTCAAGGGGCCCCAGCACAGGCTTGGCATGTGCGGGAGACCCCGGGTTCCATCCCCAGCACCTCCAGGAGCGACCCCAAAACAGTCAGGCAAAAGCGACCCCTGCGCGCTCCCCAGGGTGGCCCCCACGCCTGAGACCAACCCCCAAGGCCCAGGCCGGCTCCCGAGAGCTCCGTGGGAGGGGCCGAGCGTCCGTGTCCTTGGATGTCGGATGGAAAGTAGAGCCTCGGTGACCTCACGGAAGCGGCGCTGCCGGGAGATTAAATGTGCTCCGAGTCACTGGTGTGCCACGCGGGCTCCTCCGCGGAGGACTTCCTGGGATTCTCTCTTCTGAAAGGGGGGTCGAGAGGCAGCCCTGGGCGGCCCCGAGTCCAGCCAAGGGTCAAGGAGCAGCGCTGTGGTCACCACGGGGCACAGGCCACCACGCTCCGGGGCCCGGCGAGTGCCAGCCCCGGAGCAGCTGCCGGGTGGGTGCTGGGTGCGGACTGCTCCGGTTTCTCTCACCATTCCTGATGCCGCCTGGGGCTCGTTAAGGCTGCCCCTTGCCCGAGTGCCAGGGGCAGGGGGGTGGCAGCAGGCAGACGCCGTGCGTGCGGGGACAGAGCCGGACGGAAGGCGCGAGGGTCCGACCACCCTCCCTGCCTCGCTGTCTGCCCATCCCCGTCCCGGGCACCGAGCCCGGCCTCGCCGCCCTGCCCTGGCCCCTGGCCCTCCTCTCCCTGCGGGTCCTTCTGGCCTCCTGCTCCTGCCCCGGCCAGGCTCCCTCTCCACGCCGCTCGCTTTCTAAACTGTCCGCTCATCCCCAGCGACCCGCGAGGTGACCTGAGGGAAGGGACAGGGCACGGGACCCCAGCGCCAGGGCCGGTGGCAGGTGTCCCGCCCACTCCCGCAGCCCACCGAGGCCTCAGGCCCAGCCCAGCTGCCCGCAGCTCTCCTCCGGGCACCCCTGCGGGGGAGGGAGAGGCGAGAGACCCCCCCCAGACCTTCCTGGACCCGCTCCCTGCCGGGCTCTGCCTCCCCGCCCCCTCCCTCTCTCCTCAGATTCCCCTAATCCCCGCTCCCCCCGCCCTCCCCTCTGCCCCACTTTTCCAGGACTCTGATTGGTGGATCCCACTGACTGGACTGGGGGGGTGGCTGGCTAGGGAGGGGGCAGGGGGCAGAACCCAGGGAAGGGGAGCTGCGGGGCCCAGGCCCCTGGGGGGCCGGGGCCAGGCCACTGGCGGGGGGCAGCGGGCACCAGGACTGAAGGTACGGACAGGGCAGTGTGGACAGGGCGGGCAGGAGAGGACCCCGGGGGGCTCTGTCAGGTCCAGGCAGATGGGCGAAGCGACCTCTGGACTTGACCTTTGCTTCCGGCAGGCCCCGCAGCTGGCAGAAGTCCCCGCCAGGCTGACAGGCCAGTGACAGTGGGCTGCCGAGAGGGGCGCGGTGGCCTCGCGCCAGCCCTTTGGGGACCGGCGGGGGCTCTGCGGGGGGGGGGGGCGTGGGGACGGAGGCCACGGGATGGCTGGCCCAGACTCCGTTTCCCCGCAGGGTCCAGCCCAGGCATCCCCTCCCAGAGAGGGTGCGATTTCTCTTCATGCCCTCGCATGAAGCCAAGCGAGCTGAGCAGGTCTGGACGCTTCCTGGGTTTCTCCCTGCGCCTGGGGGACAGCAGGAAGCTCGGGAGAAGAGGCCCCGGGGTCCGGGTCCGAGTGTTCCCCGGCCCAGGGCCAATGCCACTCCCTGCTGCCTACCCCAGAGGTGCGGGCAGAGAACTGAAAATCCAATCTGGGACCAGGGGTGGCAGGGAGAGCGGCTAGCGGCCGAGGGGCTCGCCTGGCCTGGCCCAGCCCCGTCCAGTGCCTGGCCCCAGGGAGGATTCCCTGAGCACCTTCAGGAGAGACTCCTGAGCACAGAGCAGGAGTAGCTGTACAGCGCGCCCTCCTCCTAAATGAGCAACCGTGACTGGGGCCTGGGCGGTATGCAGGGGCCCCGGGTCTAAAACCCAACACCGCATGGTCCCGAACCCGCCGCGGAGAAGGACTCTGATTGGACCAAATCGGAACGCGGAGGCATCTGAAAGAGTCCCGTCCCCTAGGTCCCCCACACCCCCTCTGCGCACTAGGGGGACGGGACTCCCACCCCCCCACGTATATTCTCCCTGGGGGTATGCCTTCAGCTTTCCTAGGGGGAAGCAACTTCCTCCCAGGCCTGGGGGTCCCCGTCCCGCTGAGGCGGCACAGCTCCAGCTCTCCCCGGGCCCCTCAGACCCCTCGAGGTCTTGGGGAACTAACTGCGGGAGGGAGGCTGCAGGAGGAGGAAGTGAAAGCCTGAGAGGGAAGGATGCCGCCCCCAGCCCCCCACGGGGCACCCTGCTCCGTGGTGCTCCTCCGAGTCAGGTCCCGGAAGCAGGGAAGAGCCAACTTCTGAGCGTCTTGGGGGGGCTCCCCGACCTCAAGCCTTCTGCCCCACCTGATGTTTTCTCTGCCCTCCAGGCAGCCTGAGCCGGGCAGGGCCCCTCCCTCTGCTGCGGCAGCCCCCCATCATGCAGCCGCCCCTGGACCTCAAGCAGATCATGCCCTTCCCCCTGGAGCCAGCCCCCGCCCTGGGCCTCTTCAGCAACTACAGCACCGTGAGTATCCGCCTGCCTCCACCCCGGGGTCCCTGCCTCCCCCCCGCCCCCCAATCCCATCTTGCCTCGAATCCACAATCTCCTCTGGATCGATCGATCGATCATCCCTTTTTCTGACTTCGCGTCTGTTCTAAGGACCCTGAGCTCTCGGGGGCGCCGCGGAGCACGGTGACCGGGACAGCCCAAGAGTCGCTAAGGTCTCGCTCAGAGAGAGCCAAGTGCAACGCTAAAGCGTTTGACGTGCGAACCCTCTCCTCCCGGCCAGCAATGAGCCGCCCACCATGGAGGGAAGAGAACCAGGATAGGGCCCTGCATTAGGGGTTGTGATTTCAGGGTGGGGCGGGACGAGGAGGAGGTGTGGAACCCTGCCGACCTGTCCGCGCAGAGCTGCGGCTCTGTGGTGGGGAGGGCCAGAGGGGCCGTGTCTGCAAGTCTGGCCTCGTCGTCTGGAAACAGGAAGCCAAGAGGGCTGGGGAGAGACAGCAGAGCGGGGAAGGTGCTTGTCTTGCACACATACGGTCGCTCCGTCTCGATCCCCAGCACCCAGCCAGGAATGATCCCAGAGCGCAGAACCAGGCGTAAACCCTGAGCACCCTCGGGCGTGGCCCCAAAACCCCCAAAATGAAAATGAAGTGGGAAGTTCTAATATTCTATTTTTTTTCTTTTTGGGTCCCACCCGGCGATGCACAGGGGTTCCTCCTGGCTCATGCACTCAGGAGTTACTCCTGGCGGTGCTCAGGGGACCATCTGGGATGCTGGGAGTCGCACCCGGGTCGGCCACATGCAAGGCAGTCGCCCTACCCGCTGTGCTATCGCTCCAGCCCCGAAGTTCTAATCTTCTTTCTTGGGGGGGCAAGACGCTAATAGGAGCAGCAGAGCTGGGTCTGCGGGGTGGGCGGGCGGCTGGAACAGAGGCTGCAGGCCGGACTCGGTGGGCGGTCAGGGGCTTGTCCCTGCGCCGTCAGCCCGGGCGGAAGCCTGGCGGGCCAGACGGAGCAGGGCAGCGGCAGTGTGAGAGGAGAGAGGATGGCGAGGTGTTTCCAGGGAAATATTGACAGGCCATGGTGACCAGCCCACACGTGGGGGCAGGGGAGCAGAGAAAAGATGAGTCAGGGATGACTCCAGGGTTCGGGCCTCAGACCGAGAGGAAGGAAGGAGTCACCTTGAGAGGAGCAGAAAATCTGGGGTGACAACATCGCCACGTGGTTCCGTGGACAGACAGATTTTAGGCTTGGGGAAGAGGTTGGAGCCCAAGGTGTGGGCGAGGGTAGGTCATTTGTCTTGCATACTGCCAACCTGGAGCGGTAGCACAGTGGGTAGGGCGTTTGCCTTGCACGTGGCCGACCCGGGTTCGATTCCTCCACCCCTCTCGGAGAGCCCGGCAAGCTACCCAGAGTATCCTGCCCACACTGCAGAGCCTGGCAAGCTCCCCATGGCGTATTCGATACGCCAAACACAGTCACAACAAGTCTCACAATGGAGACATTCCTGGTGCCCGCTCAAGCAAATCAGTGAATGTCGGGAGGACCGCACTACAGTGCTACGGTGCTGCCAACTTGGGCTTGATCCCCGGCACCCCCTAGGGTCCCCTGAGCACTGCCAGAAGTGATCCCTGAACAAAGAGTCAGGAATAAGTCCTAAACATGATGGGGTGTGGCCCCCCAAAATACAAAAAAGCAAACAAACAAAAAACAAAGACGTGGGGAAAACCAGCTTTATTCAACTCAAAATAACCCACCATCAGGGGCTGGGGAGAGAGTGCAGAGGGGAGGGGGCTTGCCTTGCACACAGCCCACCTGGGCTCCATCCCCAGCACCCCATATGGTCCCCATGACCACCGTCAGGAGTAATTCCTGAGCACAGAGCCAGGAGTAACCCCAGAGCATCACCAGGTGTTCCCCCAAAACATCCGCCACCAGGGGATATTCAGCTGCAGACCTGTTCTGAGCACTGACTCTGCGCCAGGCGCTGCAGGGAATGTTGCTATCCACGGTCTCGCTTAATCTCCACCAACCAACAAGGTGATATTACTATCCACGAGACATCTTGGGAGCACAGAGCCTCCAGCGCAGAAGGTTTGAGTGGTTGACTGACGTCAGCACAGTGTGGCCTACAGTCTGCACAATTAGTGGCATGGATGTGTTTGATATGAACCCGCAGCGTCAGACTCCAAATGAAGTTCTCTTTGTACCACAGCTGTTTCCTCCCAAAGAACTGAAATCAAGGGCTATAGGGATGCGTCTCTATGGGAGAGAGCATGTCTTGCATGCATAAGGCCCTGGGTTGGATCCCCGCACCACAGAAAGAAAGGAGAGAGAGAGAGAGAGAGAGAGAGAGAGAATCCTCATCAACATTTTCATTGCATGTGGAGCGCACTGTTTTCCATGGCTCCAGCACCCTAAGGGGTAAGCTGTGGTGCTATCCTCATTTGACAGCTGAGAAAATTGAGTGCTGGCTATAAGGAAGGCCCTAGGCCAGACCCGGCAGGGGCACGGCGGTCAGTAAGACACAGTTCTGTCTTGAAGGAGCTTATGTTCAGGAGAGAAATACGGACAGGAAGGCAGTGATCTGCAGCCCCAGACAGAAGGTGCTAGAAAAACTGTAGCAGAGACACTAACAAGATTCCGTTGGAATTTTGGCTGTTTTTTTTTTTGGGGGGGACACACCTGGCAGTGCTCAAGGTTTACTCCTGGCTCTGTGCTCAAAGTTCACGCCTGCAAGGCCCAGGGGACCATATGGGGTGCCTGGGATTGAACACAGATCAGCTACGTGCAAGGCAAGCGCCCTCCCTGCCGTCCTCTTGCTCCGGTCCTGGAAAAATTATCTTTGAGCACCTACTCGTACTGGGCACTCCGCCTGGGTCAGGGACATGGGACTCGGTCTGTGCCCTTGGAGAGAGCAAGGATGCTAGGGAATAACCAGTGAAGTCTCCTGCAAGGTGAAGAAGGCGGCTTCAGGGGCCGTCAGATTATGTGGGAATCTCTGGGCTGTCAGGAAAAACTTGCTGGATGAGACGGTGCTAAAGTGACCACTGGGGCTGGAGCGATAGCACAGCAGGTAGGGCATTCGCCTTGCACGCGGCCGACCCAGGTTCGATTCCCAGCATCCCATGTGATCCCCCGAGCACCGCCAGGGGTAATTCCTGAGTGCAGAGCCAGGAGGAACCCCTGTGCATCGCTGGGTGTGACCCAAAAAGCAAACTAAATAAATAAAGTGACCACTGTTTACCTGGCGTTAAATAGAAAAGAAAGAGAACAGAATATAAAGGGGTTGAAGCTGGGGGCAGGTGGCATATGATTTAGGCTTGGAAGAATTGCTAGCAGAATTGTTTATTTATTGGCGCCCAGGACCCAACCCTGTACGTGCAAAGTGGACACTCCGAAACTGAGCTGCATCCCCAGCCTCGCTGCATTTATTTATTTTTATTTATTTTAGTGAAGAAAGATAGGTTTCATTGAATAAAACTTCTTTAAAAAAAAGATGTGAAGGGGGGCTGGAGTAATAGCACAGTGGGTAGGGCGTTTGCCTTGCACGCGGCCAACCGAGGTTCGATTCCCAGCATCCCATAGGGTCCCCTGAGCACCGCCAAGAGTAACTCCTGAGTGCATCGCCAGATGTGACCCAAAAAGCAAAAAAAAAAAAATGTGAAGGGAGAGAAAGAGAGAAATGTGTTTAAGGAAGAGCATCAGCCTGAAAAGCAAGAAGCAAGCAAAGAGACAAAGATTAATGTTCACGGGGGATCTCAGACTTGAAGGAGTAAACAAAATTTTATTTTATTTTTTTATTCAATCTGTTTATTCTTTGGTTTGGGGGCCACACCTCGGGGTGCTCAGGGGACCACATTGGATGTTGGGGATTGACCCCCGAGTCAGCTGCATGCCAGGCAAGTCTACCTGCGGTGCTATTACTTCGGCCCCTGTTTTATTATTCATTGGTTTGGGGCCACCCCCGGATTTCTCCCAGCTCTGTGCTCAGGGATCACTCCTGGTGGAGAGAGGGGAACCATATAGGGTGTCTGGAATCGAACCTGGGTCAGCTGAGCCCCAGGCCAGTGCCCTATCTGCGATGCTATCTCTCCAACTCCTGGCAGAATCAAAAGGCACCTTCGAGGCTGTTCCAGAGGGCAGCCAGTAAGCGAAAGGAGCCAGGGTGAGGGAAGAGCACTTGAGAGAGAGAAAGCCATCGATGAAGTGTGAGTGGCACGAGGTGTGGGACTCCTGTTCCCCACCCCGCCAGTGTTCCGTTCTGTGGATGACACAGACTCAGAGCTCCGTGGCCAAGTGGCCAAGACCTAGTCACGTCCTGTGGACAAGCCAGAGTGTCTGACTCCCCGGGCTCTGTGACCCCTCTGCCTCGAGTGGATGCAAGGTGGTTAAAGCCAGGAGCATGGGGAAGCTTGGAGAGCGTGGGGGGGGGGTGGGTGAGCCGGGGCCAACTTTGGCCTCTGACTCTTCTGCTGCAAACTGACGTCCCAGAGGCACCGGCGGGGGGACCCTAGGCAAATTATTTAACCCCTCTGAACGCCAACTGTACCGGCTGTACAACAAGATGGTCCCCCCGCCAGGCTGCTCTGGGAGTCCGATTACATAACAGTACCGCCTCGACCAAGGCCAGCGCCCGGCCAGTGCCGGCTGCTATGATTATTGTGTGGTTGCTATTGCTTGTGCTTCGAGAAAGGCAGGACGCTGGCGGTGGCAGAGTTAGATGGGGGGACCTGCGGGGGCTGTGAGGGAAACGGAGGAGGCCCAGGGAGGGCAGGGACAGAACTGGGAAGGGAGAGAGAGAGAGAGAGAGAGAGAGAGAGAGAGAGAGAGAGGAGAGAGAGGCGGCTACATCAATAGTGTCAGATTCTGCAGGGGAGCATGGGCTGCATGCAGGCCTGGACAGTGGCTGGGGGCAGTTGAGCACACGGCTTTGGGATCAGGCCGCCCGGGCTTAAATTCAAATCCCAGTCCATCCACTTACTAGCGTGTGACCTTGGGCAAATCATTCGACCTCTCTGAACCTCGTGCCCTCATCCGTGGAATGAAGATAATGACAGCACTTGCTTCAGATAGTGGCCGTGAAGATTAAATGAGATGGGGGCTGGAGAGACAGTACAGTGAGTAGGGCCTTTGCCTTGCACGTGGCCGACCCGGGTTCGATTCCCAGCATCCCATAGGGTCCCCTGAGCACCACCAGGAGTCATTCCTGAGTGCAGAGCCAGGAGTAACCCCTGAGCATCGCCAGGTGGACCCAAAAAGCAAAAAAAAAAAAAAAAAAAAGATCAAATGAGATGATCCGCGCCGGGAGCTGCGTCCACCTGGGGTGGTGGCCGTGGTGTCCTGGCGACAGCCTCGCCCCCCGCCCCCGGAGAGAGGGGCAGCCCCCCCTGCTCGAGCATCCCTGCGCCGGTGCTTCCCTCTGCCCGGACCCCCTCCCTCCCTGTCCCCACGGCAGCGTCTCTACCCCCACCCCGCGTCATGCCTCTGCCTCCGAGGGAGGGGACGGGACGAGAGCGCCGCAGTCCCGGGAGCTGTCCGGGAGGAGGGGGCAGTGTCCGGCCGGGAGTCCGGCTGTCCTAGCGCGCCGCGGCCGCCAGGGGGCAGCGAGGGGGCGCCGCGCCGGCTGGCAGGCGGCGGGTGCCCGGCAAGGGGCGCGCGCGGGGCGGAGGAGGCCGGGCCGGGCGGGGCGTGGGCGGGCGAGGCCGGCGGGGGGAGGGACCCACGTGGGCGGGCGGGACGGGCCCCCGCGCGCGGGGCCGGGGTCGCGCAGCCCGTGGCGGGCGAGGACGCGGCCCCGCGCGCGCCCCCCACGGCCGCCGGCCCCGCCCCCGCCCCGCCCCCGGCCCAGGCCCCGCCCCGGCCCAGGCCCCGCCCCGGCCCCGCCCCGCCGGCCCAGGCCCCGCCCCGGCCCCAGGCCCCGCCCCGGCCCCGCCCCCGCCGGCCCAGGCCCCGCCCCCGCCGGCCCAGGCCCCGCCCCGGTCCCGCCCCCGCCGGCCCAGGCCTCGCCCCCGGGCGGCCGGTCCCCGCGGCGCCGCCTCCTCCTCCCGCCCGCCGGGCTGCAGCCCCGAGCCGCGGGCCCCGAGCGCCGCGTCCCCGGCCCGGCCCGGCCCGCCGCGCCCCCCCCCGGGCCAAGGAGCCGCCGCCCCCGGGCCCCGCAGGGTAAGCGCCGGCCCCTCCCCGCGCCGGCCCCGCGCCGCAGCCCCCCCCCACCCGCACCCCACCCCCACCCACCCCGGGGCTCCTGCCCCGTCCCCGAGCGCCGCCTTGGCCCCTCCGCGCCCCGGGAGAGCCCCCGCCCGCCCCCTCCTCACTCCGCACCTGCCCTCCGGCCCCCAGCCCGGACCCGGCCCGCCCAGCCCTGGCCCCCGAGATGCCCCCCGCCCTTGTCCTCTGTCCGGGGAGGTGGGCCGGGGGAGGGGCGCCGGGGAGGGGGGTGCAGCCCCTCGGCCGCCCCCTCCCTGCCCCCCCACGAGCCCAGCCCCGGGACAGGCAGGAGGGCAGCGGGAAGGGCCCCCTCCGGGCAGGGTCCAGCGGGAGCCCCAGAGGAGGGTCCCGGGGCAGAATGCGCCCCCCCACCCCCGCTAGGTCACCGGGACCTTGGCCTGGAGCCGCTCTTGGTGGCTGGCCTGCCACCTTCGGCCGCAGCCCTCGCCCCGCCTGCTGTGGGCCTGGGTCCCCCGGGAGCGGGTGGGCAGGTCCAGCCTGACCCCGCAGACCCCCCACCAGCGGCTCCCCGGGGTGTCCAGAGACCTGACCCCGGGGGGAAGGGGTCACCCCAAGAAAAGGCCCTGAGTGTCGGAGGCTTCCTGGGCATGGATGTCTCGGTGGTCCGCATGGCCGGCCCGGGGGTCCTCGGCCACTTTGGGGTGACCCGGTGGCGCCAGATCCGGGCCCCTGCCCCCCTACCCGCCACCCCCCAGTCCCTCCCCGACTCTGCTCCGACTTGGGTTTCTCGGCCCAGATTGGGTTTCTGCTTGGGCCGAGTTCCAGCCCCAGCCGGCTTGTGGGGAGACCCAGGGGCCAGGCCCAGGAGGCAGCGTCCAGGGCGGGATGGGCTCCGAGTCAGGCGGATGGGTGGGCTCTGGGGAGGGGAGAGCAACGCGCTCTGGGCCGGCCCCCCTCCCCGTGGAAGCCTGTCTCCAGATTGGTCTGTCTGTCTGTCTGCCAGACACATCGCACATGCACCCAGATAAACACGCAGCTGAAGATTACACAACCTGCCCGTTGGTGGTGTCAGCAAAGCCCCCGACACAGCAATGTTGATACACAAATCCCAGACACACAGCACATGCCACTCCCTCACACCCCACCCCTGCACAGATTGATCACAGCCTGCCTGCCCCCCCACCCCCACTGCCAGCTTTTCTTGAGATAGGACCTGGGCCAAGCGAGCCTGGGCGCCCGCGAGAGGGGCTGCTTGCGGCCACTTCAGGAGGGGCCCCCCGTCCCTCGGGCCTGCCCCTCGCTTCCGGACGGGGCGAGGCCCACTTCTCGGGGACACTGAAGTCCCCAGCCTGCCCGTGAGTCACGTGGGGAGTGCAGGGGTTTCTGCTCCTGGCCTCAGCGGGAACCACGGGGGCCCAGAGGGACCCCGGTGAGTGATGATGACCCCCACGTTCCCAGCGGCTCGCAGGGAACATGGGCCCCCTTGAGTCTCTCCCTAGGAGAAAACCCCGCCTGCACCAAGCGCCCTCCGCCGCATTCCATTCCTACCTCTCCCGGCCGGAGGGAGGAGCACTGTGTGGGGAGGCAACCCCCGTCCCCCACAGCACGGGCCTCAGAGGCTCTTCCCTCCTCACATGAGCTCTTGGCGGGAGGCTGCAGGCGTCAGCTGACCCTGGGTGGGGCAGCCGTCACCCCGCCCGCCTGCCCGGGCCAGGCCCACCAGCCCTTCGAGGAGGAAGAGAAAGTTCGCGCTAGGTCCCGCTATTCCCGGTCACTCCCTAGAGCCACTGGCTCCTGCTTTCCCGGACCCCCGTCTGGAAGCCGCCGCCCGCCCGAGAGAGGGCCAGGTAGGGTGTGCCTGAGACCACCTGGGACCCAGCGCTGGCCCTGCCTCCTCCCGAGACCAGAGGCCGCTTGGCAGACCCTCGCCCCGGCGTGCTCAAGCCTTGGCCCCAGGCCCTGGCACCCGGGGTGCTTTGCTGGGGCCGTCAGGGTGCCTCTGCTGAACGGGCCTCGCTGGGAGGTCACAGATCAAGAGTGGGTCAAGGGTCTTCATGGGCTTTTTTGGCTTGTTTCGTTTTGTTTTTGGCTTTTTGGGTCACACCCGGCAATGCACAGGGGCTGCTCCTGGCTCTGCACTTGGGAATTACCCCTGGCAGTGCTCGGGGGACCCTGTGGGATGCTGGGAATCGAACCCGTGTCGGCCGTGTGCAAGGCAAACGCCCTCCCCGCTGTGCTATCCCTCCAGCCCCGAGGGTCTTCCTGTTGATCGAGAGATGGATGGTGGACAGGTCAGGTTCCGGCTCTGCGACTGACTTCGGGGGTGACCTTGAGCATCCTGGACCCTCCGCTCCCCTTCCAGGCCGAGATGCCGGTTTGGGGAGGAACTGGGGGCCGAGGCTGAGAGTCCGCAGCCTTCCGGGGGCCGGGAGAGGCCCTGCTGCGTGGGGGGACGATGGACAGGCGTTCGTGCTGGGCACCCGGCTCACCCCAGCCTGTCTCCACAGATGGACCCTGTGCAGAAGGCTGTGCTCTCGCACACGTTCGGGGGACCCTTGCTCAAGACCAAGCGGCCCATCATCTCCTGCAACGTCTGTCAGATCCGCTTCAACTCTCAGGTGAGGGACACAACTGTTCGCCCAGCCCGGGGGGGGGGGGGGCAGGGGGGTCCCTGGGAGCGACCGGGGCTGAGGAAAGATGCTCGCGAGGACCAGAGGTCACTGTGTTTTGGTCACGAAGTAGCACAGCAGGGCTTTTGCCTTAGGCTTGGCCAACTTTTCCATCCCGGCCCCCGCTGGGAACCCCCAGGGGTGACCCCCGGGTGCCTCCTCTTGGACTCGGACTCAGCCAGGTCTGAATGGGGCGTGGCTCCCGCCAGTGGGGCTGACAGGTCGTGGGTGCCCCCGGGAGCCTCCGCCAGGCTCCTCCTCATCCACTCCTGCACCCTGACTGGGACGCCCCCCACTCCCCTCCGCCCCCCACCCCCTCCCACCTCCTGCTTCCCACCTGTCTCCACCACATTCCCTGGGGGGTGGGGGGGGCATTGGGATCAAACCCAGCCAGGCTCTGCTCACTGGGGTCCGTGGCATAAACTCTCTCCCTGGGCCTCCCTGCCACATTCCTAGACTCCTGGCAAAGCTTCGATCCCCCATACCCACACACGCACATGCACGCGCGCACACACACACACACACACACACACACACACGCACACACGCACACACTCCTCTTTTCCCCGTGCCGCACCCCCATCAGGACGTGTCAAGCCTGGCGGGTTTCCTTGATCTGAAATGCCACTGGGATTTCTGGGGCTGGGGGGCTCTATGGTCGGGGTCCTGAGAGCTTTGGGGGCGCCTCTTTCTGCGGAGCTGGGGGCAGTGACTGTGGCTCTGCTCCCCACGCTGCACCCCGCCCCTTCCGCCTCTCTCTGCACCTCCTCATTCCACCCTGCGCAGAGCCCGGTGACCTTGGCATCCAGGAGGCCGCGTTCTCCGGGGGGGGCGGGAGGGGGGGGGCGAGGGATCGAGCCTGGAGCCGCCCGGCCATGGGCCTCTCCGAGCTCAGCCCAGTCGCCCAACCTGGTCCCACCCCGGTGGAAGGTATCAGCCACCCGCTCCGGCCGGCCCTGCTCTGCCCTCTCCTCCCCGCGCCCCAGGAGGCCCTGTTTTCACAGCTGTCTCTGCTGCTCTCGGTCTCCAGAGCTGGGCTTGGGGCCAGGGTCCTTCAGACCGTCCTCGGAGGGGCTGGAGCGATGGCACAGCGGGGAGGGCGTTTGCCTTGCACGCAGCCGACCCGGGTTCGATTCCCGGCATCCCATAGGGTCCCCTGAGCACCGCCAGGAGTCATTCCTGAGTGCAGAGCCAGGAGGAACCCCTGGGCATCGCCGGGTGGGACCCAAAAAAGAGAAAGAAAAAAAAAATGTCCTCAGAGGCTTCGGGGAAGTGAGGGGTTGGGGCGCCCTGCTGAGTGGAGGAGGCAGGGGGCAGGGGGCTTCCAGGAGGACGTGGCTGGGTGAAGCCTGAGCCCTGCTCATCAGGGTTTGGGGTCCCTTCTCCTCCCCAGGACAAGCGGGGGAGCCTGGTGGGCTGGAGCCAGGGGCTGGCGGCTGGTGGGTGGGGGGTCGGGGCCGCAGGTGCCCAAGCCCCGAGGCTGCCCGTACTCAGAGGGGGGCCGTGACAGCCCAGCGGTGTTGGGGGAGGGTCACGGGGGCTCCCGGGGGCCCGGGGAGGGTGGTCGGGGGCCGCGGCATCTGACTCCCTCCCCCTGCTCCCCCCCAAGAGCCAGGCCGAGGCGCACTACAAGGGCAACCGCCACGCCCGGAGGGTCAAGGGCATCGAGGCCGCCAAGACCCGAGGCCGGGAGCCTGGCGCCCGGGAACCTGGAGACACCACCCCTGCCGGCAACGTGCCCCCCAACGCGGAGGGCGCCACCCCCCGTCCAGGTGTGTCTGGCTCCCCCCCCCCCCCCCCCCCGCCTGCCCGCGATCTCTGCTCCTCCCCGCGGCCCTGGCCTCGCCTTCCTGGCCTGGCCCTCCCCATCCAAGGTGGGCCTGGCGCCCCTCCGTGACAGCAAGTTTCCATCGGGCCGCCCCACCCCGCCCCAGCTCCTCTCACAGAGCCCTCCCTGTCCACTGCCAAGTGACTCAGAGGGGCTGAGGGTGCGGCCACCTGGCAGGGCTCCTCAAGGAGGGAACTGTCCGTCCAGGGGGAGGGGGGCGGGGCTCAGGGTGTCGCCTCTGCCCACGGTGCCCCCTGCAGGGACAGCGCCGTGCCCAGGAGCGCCCGCTTCTCCCCGACCGAGCTCCTTCGCAGCTCTCTCTGGCTTTGTTTTGGGGCCACAGCCGGGGGTCACTCCTGGCTCTGCACACCAGGATCGCTCCTGGTGGTGCCCAGGGGAGCCTGCGGGGTGCCGGGAATCGAACCCTGGTGGGCCGTGTGCTAGGCAGGCGCCCCTGGTCTGTTGGTCGGGAGGTGACAGTTTCGGAGGTTCACAGAAAGCAGTTCAGAGTCTCTCTCCCTGGTGGCCGGTCGCCGTCTCGATTGTGCTCCCAGCTGGGAGCCGGGAAGACGGGAGCCCCCGGGCCTGGGATGGCCACGGCACGTTCACCGGCAGCTCCAGGGACCAGGAGCCCGAGCTCCCTCCCTGTCCCGGCCTGTCCTTCCTTCCCTGCCCGCAGGAGCAGGCCAAGCCTCCCACAGCCACTCACACGGACACACACGCAGACACACACTCAGACACACACACAGGCACACACTCAGAAACACACAGACACACTTAGACACACACTCAGACTCACACAGACACACACTCAGACGCACACACTAAGACACACATAGACACACATACTCAGACACTCACACAGACACTCAGACGCACACACAGACACACACACAGCCATTCACACAGACACACACTCAGACACACACTCAGAAACACACAGACACACTTAGATACACACACTCAGACTCACACAGACACACACTCAGACGCACACACTAAACACACAGACACACATACTCAGACACTCACACAGACACACACTCAGAAACACACAGACACACTTAGACATACACACTCAGACACTCACACAGATGCACACTCACACACTCAGACACACAGACACACACTCAGACACACACAGATGAACACTCACACTCAGACACACAGACACACACTCAGACACACATTCAGATACACACACAGACAAACACTCAGACACTTATACAGACACACACACAGACACTCACAGACACAGAGACACATTCAGACACATAGAAATACAGAGACATAGTCAAATACACACTCAGACACACACACAGACACACACAGCCACTCACACACACTCAGGCACACACTCACACAGATGCACACTCACACACTCAGACGCACAAACACACACAGGCACACACTCAGACACTCACACAGACACACACAGACACATTCAGACACTCACACAGACACACTCAGACACACACTAACACACACTGAGGCACTCACACAGACACATACACACTCAGACACTCACACAGATACACAGAGCGATGCATTCAGACATACAGACACACAGAGACGTACTCAAACACACACAGAGACACACTCTCGGACACACAGATATTCACACAGACACACACAGATACAGTCAGAAACACACTCTGACCCACACACTTGATATACACACAGTCACATTTGGACTCACACAGACCCACACACTCACTCAGATACACTCACACTCAGCCATACACTCAAACACACAGATACCACACCCACACTCAGGCACATACACATTCATACACACGCTCAGACACACCCTCCGTTAATCTCACGCATTTACACTCAAAAACACTCCGGCACACACACTCGTGTGTTCTCCCATTCAGACACACTCGTTCAGACTGAAAAACACTCAGGCACACTCACGCACACTCATTCACACTCAGAAACAAACAGAGACGCACACACTCCTGTGTCCTTGCATGCACACACACTCGCACTCAGACCCGCCCTCGCGGCCACCGGACACACGCCCTCCGGAGACCCGGGCTGAGAGAAGTGGGTTCTGCGTGGGCTTGCCTGCGTCTCAGACTCCTCAGCCCAGTGGCTCCACGTCCTCACTCCGAAGCGGGGAGATGTGGGGTGGGAGAGACAGTTAAGGCACCTCTCGTGCGCAGTGCCAACCCGCTTCCCTCTCTGGCAACCAGACATGCCCCCCGACACACACACCCTGGGCGTGTTCCCACACACACACGAGAGAGAGAGAGACACTGCCGAGGGCCACGGGGCGCTGCTGGTGTGCAAGTCGCCCTGTCCCTCCCAGGTGCTGGTGTGTGCGATTTCGTTTTTTCATTTCGCTCCCTTGGGATCGCTCAGGAAACCACCAGCCCCGCTGGCGTGTGGAAGCCGCAAAGCCCCGGCCAGCGCGAGGTGTGGATGTGCCCTCCGGACCGGGTGGCGGCGGGGGCAGGCAGGAGGAGCGGGGTGGAGGGAAAGAGCACGGGCCAGGCCCCCCGCCAAGGCCAGCCTGGCCGCGACCCGGAAACTGGATCGGCGGCGCTGGAGCAAGAAGGGGAGCGCTTGAGTTTCCCTGCAGGGAGCCGGAGCCCGGCGTCCAGGCCCGGCCTGTGCATCTTTAATCGGGCCATGAATTATGGAGCAGCCGCATCCCGGGCTCTTCCGTCCCCACTTCTCTGTCCCTTCTGCTGTGTCTGCGTGTCTCTCGACCTCTCCCCAGCCTGCCCCTGCCCCCCCGTCACCCCGGGGACTGGGCCGGGCTACGGGAAGGGGCTGGCCGGGGCGGGAAGCCCAGGCCCACTGGCCAGCAGGCCCTGGCAGGGGAAGCCCTCCGGGCTCCCGGCCTCGCCCCCTGGCCAGACTGGCTGCCAGCTTGTCCCTGCAGGAGCGGCCAGTGGACTGGACCCCCCCAGCAGCTCTAGCTGGTGGCACCCCCGCCCCTCCCCTCCCTCACTCCCAGCCCAGGGCGGCGAAAGCATGCCTGGCTCTGGCCCAGGGCGTGAGAACATGCATGCTGTCACAGGGTGGGACTCGCTGGGCCCGTGCCCTGCAGGAAACTGGGGCAAGGCTCCTCCACAGAAGAGTCTCTTCTCCAGGGCCGGAGATGAGGCTGTTGCACGTGGTGGACCCGGGTTCGATCCCCGGCACCTCCTAGGGTCCCCCCCCCAGACCCAGCAGGAGTGACAGAGCCAGGAGTCAGACTGAGCCCCAAACAAACGCACCAGAGTCTTCTTCAAAAGTCATGGGTCAGAGGGTGCTGGAGCGATAGCACAGCGGGTAGGGCGTTTGGCTTGCACGCGGCCAACCCGGGTTCGATTCCCAGCGTCCCATTTGGTCCCCGCCAGGGGTCATTCCCGAGTGCAGAGCCAGGAGGAACCCCGGGTGTGACCGGAAAAGCCAAAAAAAAAAGTCATCTGGGGTGAGCCCTGTGTTTCTGCCCCAACCGCAGTTCCCGCGGAGAATGGACTGGCTCCAGCCCCAGGGTCCCCCGAGAAACAGCCCGGCTCCCCGCCCCCGCCCAGCATTCCAGAGACTGGCCAGGGGACCGCCAAGGGCGAAGGGGCGACCCCCGCCCTGGCCCCCCTGCCCGGAGGGAGCAAGGAAGAGGAGGAGAAGGCCAAGCGGCTGCTCTACTGCGCCCTGTGCAAGGTGGCCGTCAACTCCCTGTCCCAGCTGGAGGCCCACAACAAAGGTGAGCTGCCGCCCTGGCGTCGCCCTTTCCGGCCGCCGCCGCGGACCCTGGTGTCCCCAGCCCTCACCCCTCAAGGACTCTCCCCTTGCACTTGGCTGGGCGGCCCGGAAACCCCGACACTTGTCACCTCCTTCCCATGTTGGCATGAGGAATGTGAGCCTGGAGAGTTTTGTCCCTTTCCTTCCCGCCCGCCGCCCTGGCCGCTGCAGGTACTAAGCACAAGACCATTCTGGAGGCCCGGAGCGGACTGGGCCCCATCAAGGCCTACCCTCGGCTGGGGCCCCCCACTCCCGGGGAGCCAGAGGCCCCCGCCCAGGACCGAACCTTCCACTGTGAGATCTGCAACGTCAAGGTCAACTCGGAGGTCCAGCTGAAACAGGTGGGCTCCCTGGCCCCTGGGGGGGACCCGCGGGGGAACCGCCTTCGGGCTTTGGGTTGGGGGGGTCCTCCCCTCCGCGGCTGGGCCCAGGGCCCCCCACCCACTCTCACCCTCCCCGCCTTCCGCAGCACATTTCCAGCCGGCGGCACCGGGACGGAGTGGCCGGGAAGCCCAACCCGCTGCTCGGCCGGCACAAGAAGCCTCGGGGCGCCGGGGAGCTGGCGGTGAGGCCGGGTCCGGGTGGGTGGGCGGAGGGGGGACGCGGTGGGGTGGGGGGTGCGGAGTGAGGGCCCTCTCCCCTGGGGCGCGCTGACCCTCCCCTCTCCCTCTCTCTCTCTCTCTCTCTCTGTGCGCTGACCCTCCCCCCCACCCCGCCCGCGGGGCACGCTGACCCTCCCCCTCCCTCCAGGGGGGTGCGCTGACCCTCCCCCCTCCGCGCAGGGCGCGCTGACCTCTCTCTCTCTCTCTCTCTCTCTCTCTCTCTCTCTCTCTCTCTCTCGGCGTGGTACGCTGACCCTCCCTCTCTCCCCTGGGGCGCGCTGACCCTCCCCTCTCCCCCTCCCCTGGGGCGCGCTGACCCTCCCTCTCCCCCCTCCCCTGGGGCGCGCTGACCCTCCCTCTCCCCCTCCCCTGGGGCGCGCTGACCCTCCCTCTGCCCCCCCCCCATGCGGGGCGCGCTGACCCTCCCCTCTCCCCCCTCCCCTGGGGCGCGCTGACCCTCCCTCTCCCCCTCCCCCGCGGGGCGCGCTGACCCTCCCTCTCCCCCCCCTGGGGCGCGCTGACCCTCCCTCTGCCCCCGCCCCTGCCCCCGCGGGGCGCACTGACTCTCCCCCCTCCCCTCTCCCCTCCCCCCCGCAGGCCGCGCTGACCCTCCCCAAGGAGCTGCCCAAGCCGCTGGCCGGGGGCCTGCTCCCGGGCCCGCTGGCGGTGGCGGCGGTGATGGCCGCGGCCGCGGGGTCCCCGCTGTCCCTGCGCCCCGCGCCCGCCGCGCCCCTGCTGCAGGGGCCGCCCCTCGCCCACCCGCTGCTCCACCCGGCCCCCGGGCCCATCCGGACCGCGCACGGACCCATCCTCTTCTCGCCCTACTGACCGGCCGCGCCCGCCCCGCCCGCCCCCGCCCCGCCCGTGGGGTCCCAGGGGAGGGCCGGGGAGCGGGGGAGGGGGCTTCGGAAGGGGGGACACCCCAGATCTCAGGGAACCCCGCCCCGCCCGCCCGCCCCAGAACGGGGGGCGTCTCGCCGCCCCCGGGAGACGCCCCTCCCCCAGAAGCCATGTCCACGCAGCCCCGCCGAGCACAATCGGGTTCACAAAGCCATGCCGGGGTCCGGGCGGGGGTCGTGGGCTCCTCGGCAATAAGCGACGACCGGACTCCGCGCGCGCCCCGCCCGCCCCGCCCCGCGCGCTTCCGTGCACGCCCGGCCGCCCGCGGGACCGGGACCCCCGCGCGCTCGCCCGGCCGGCGCCGGACCTCACTGTGCCCCCCGCCGCCCGGGCATCTGGGCACTCGGGTGGGACCACGACGCCCCCGGGCGCCCCGCCCCGCCGCCCGCCCGCCCCGCCGCCCCCCGCCCGGATTCCATTCTCTTCACCAGCACCCATCGCCCACGGGGGACCAGGGGGCCGGGGTGATGGCCCGCGCCCACCCCGCCCGCCTTCCGCACAACTGTGAGCAACAAGCAATAGAGCCCCGCGCCCGCCCGTCGCCCCCGCCCGCGCCCGGACCTCGCGGCCGCCCCCCACGCCCCCACGCACAACGCGGGCGGGGCGCGACCCCTCCCCACCTCTGTGGTCTCCCTCCTGTCCGCCCTCCGTCGACTCTTCTGCTTGATGATGTAGCGACCCCGACCCCCACCCGCGTCCTTCCCCCGCCCCGACAATAAAGTCTGGATTCGTTGCCCCCCTCGCCGACCGACCCCCAAACTCGAGCCTCTGAGTGGAGTCTTCGCGGGCGCTCGGGCGCGCTGTTCCGCGGGGGACACGCATCGCCGGGAAACGGGTGCCAGCCGGCCCCCTCCCACGCCCGAGAATTCCCCGGGAGGCCACCGGGCGGCGCCGACAGCGTGGGGAAGGTGGCCTCGCGTGGGGAAGGTGGCCCCGCGTGGGGAAGGTGGTCCCGGACTGCAGACTGGCAAGGACGCAGGGCTCAGATTTCAAAGGAAATCCAGGCTTTTGGGCCCTCCGAGGGAAGCCCACGCCACAGACATGCAAAGCGTGGGAAGATGCGGGCGCAAGGGCTGGGGATCCAAGCTCCCCTCTCCGCCCCATGCAAACAGTAGTGATCCTGGGTCAGTCCTTACCCTGTGTCCCCAGCCGCCACGTCAGTGTACAGATCTGGGTCTCTTAAAAGGTTTGAGGGCTTGGGCTGGCGCGATAGCACAGCGGTGAGGGCGTTTGCCTTGCACGCAGCAGACCCAACCCGGGTTCGATTCCCAGCATCCCGTAGGGTCCCCCAAGTAATTCCTGAGTGCAGGACCAGTAGTCCCTGAGCATTGCCAAGTATGGCCCAAAAAACAAAGCTCATTTAACGTCTGGAACGAGTGTACGGAGGGGTAGCGCACCTTGCACACAACCAACCCGGGTTCGTTCCCTGGAATCCCATCCGGTTCCCCGAACACCTCCAGAATTTCTCAGTGCGAAGCCTGAGACGCCGACAATGTTCGTTGAAACATCTCGAGGAATAACACACGGGAATGAAGGCACTTGCTTTGCGCACAGCTGACCCTGGTTCAGTTTTTCTGTTTGTTCAATTTTGGCCTTTGAGTCACACCTAGCGAAGCTCAGGGGGTGCTTCTGTCTTTACACTCAGATCACTTCTGGCAGTGCTCAGGGGACCATATGGGGTGCTGGGGATCAAACGCAGGTCAGCTGTGTGTAAGGCAAACGCCCCACCTGCATACTATCGCTCTGCGCCCCCCCCCCGTTCAATTTTTGATTCCACATATGATCGTGTATGTCAGGAGTAAGCCCAATCCCTGCAAACTGTGGTACAAACACCCAGACTCAAAAAAAAAAAAAAAAGGTTTGCAGAGGTCCTGGAGACAGTACAAAGGTTAAGGCATTTGTCTTGCAGTTCAACCCCTGATCCCAGTACCCCAGGAAGAAGCCCCTCAGCACAGGCCAGATGACGCCATGCACAAGGCCTGGAGTACCTCCTGAGCACTGCAGGGCATGACCCACCTCCCACATAAAAAATTCATTGAGGGGGGAAATGTTTTTAAGTTAAGGAGGGGCTGGAGCGATAGCACAGCAGGTAGAGCGTTTGCCTTGCATGCGGCCGACCCGGGTTCGATTCCCAGCATCCCATAGGGTCCCCCGAGCACCGCCAGGAGTAATTCCTGAGTGCATGAACCAGGAGTAACTAACTCCTGAGTATGGGTGTAACCCAAAAAGAAAAAAAAAAGGGGGCTGGAGCAGTAGAACAGCAGGTAAGGCATTTGCCTTGCACGCAGCTGACCTGCGTTGAATCCCTGGTCTTCCATAGGGTTCCTCATGCACCACCAGGAGTAATTCCTAAATGCAAAGCCAGGAGTGACCCATGAGCATGGCCAGGTATAGACAAAAAATAATTTTTTTAAAGTTCCGTGAGCGGAACCTCGGAAAATGACTCAGAGGTCAGGGGCAAATGTGACCCGAATTGATTCTGTCGTTGTTGTTGATTTGTTTGGGGCTGGGGGCGGGGGGTGGTTGGGTCATACCTGGTGGTGCTCAGGGGTTCCTCCTGGCTCTACACTCAGGAATGACTCCTGGTGGTGCTCGGGGGCCCCTATGGGATGTCAGGGCTCGAACCGGGGTCGGGCATGTGCGAGGCAAGCGCCTTGTCACTCCGAATGAACCTTGGCACCCTGCACGTGGCTCAGCCCACCAGACGTGAGCAGCACCACATCGCCTGAGAAGCACAGACGCTCTGGCAAACCTCGTCAGGCGGGCACCGGGTCTCCTGGCCATTGCTTGAGAGGCCCCCAGGAAGAGGCTGTGGAGTGGAGGCAGAGACAGTAAAGCAGGGGGAGCATTTGTGCTCCAGCCGATCACTTTGGGGTCCTCCCCAGCACCCCACATGGACCCCAGACCTGCCAGGAGTGACTCCTGAGTGCAGAGCCAGGAGCAAGCCCTGAACACCTCTGGGCGTGGCCCCAGAATAGAAACATTAAATAAAAGGGCTGGAGTGGTATTTCAGCAGGGTGGGCATCTGCCTTGCACGTGGCCAAGCGGGACTCGATCCCCAGGACCCCATCTGGTCCCCTGAGCACCGCCAGAAGTGACTCCTGAGTATAGCGCCTGGGCGTCACTGGCTGTGACCCAAGAAGCCAAAAGGAAAGAAAAAGAAGCCAAAAGAGGGCTCTTGAGGGCCCTCGCTCAGCGGCTGAGGTAATGGGCTTCCAAGGATACAGCCCAGAGTCCGATTCCCAGGCCTGATCTCCAGAGCCCCAGGCAGGTTCCACGGCTCATGTGTGCAGCACAGCAAAAGCTTGTGAAATAGGGAAACTTTGGTCATGTCGGTGACTGTCCCCTGAGAGCACCCCGGCCCGGGCAAGTGCCTGTGCCCAGCTGATGCAGAAGGCAGAAGAAAGTTCCCTGCAAATCTAGGTCCCGCACTCCAGACCCACAGGAACGCCTTCTCCTCTGGCCCCACAGTCTTGTGTGATCTGGGAGTTGGGACAGGGCTGGGGGGAAGCGGGCTCTTGATCACTGGAATTCTACGTACCAGCTCCATGCTCCCGAGGGCAGCCAGTGACCCCGCCATCCCTCTCTTTAGCCCTGATGGGCTCGAACAGAAAAGTGACCACGGGCTGGAGCCATCCTACAGTGGGTGGAAGGTTTGTCTTGCCCATGGCTGACGCGGGTTTGATCCCTGGCATTCCACACGGGCCTCTGAGCTCCCGGGAGTAATTCCTGAGGGAAGAGCCGGCAGGAACTGCTGAGCAGAGCGAGATGTGCCCCCACCCCGCCCCTGCCAAAGCCAAAGAAGTCTGGACCAGAATCCGCATCCTGAGTTACATTTTCTTTGCTGACGTCTCTTCTCACCCACTGCTCAGTGTTGCAGAAGAAGCCAAGAAGGTGAGTTGTGGATTGTAAAGAAGAAAGTGAGGGGCTGGAGCGATAGCACAGCGGGTAGGGCGTTCGCCTTGCATGCGGCCGACCCGGGTTCGATTCCCAGCATCCCATCCCATATGGTCCCCTGAGCACCACCAGGAGTAACCCCTACACATTGCCGGGTGTGACCCAAAAAGCAAAAAAAGAAAGAAAGAAAGGGAGGAATAGAGCATTGGTACAGGAGGCAGGGCACTTGCCTTGCACGTGACTGACCTGGGTTCCATCACATCCCTTCTGGTCCCCTGAGCACCACCAGGAGTGATTGCCAGGTGTGGCCAAAGAAAGAGGGGGCCAGGGAGTGACAGCACAGCAGTAGGGCGTTTGCCTTGTACACAGTCGAGTTGGGTTCGATCTCCAGCATCCTCCCAGGCACAGCCAGGAGGAGGACTGCTGAGTACAGAGCCAGCTATGACCCTTGAGCATTGCCAGGTATAGCTCTAGAACAGAAAAAGGAAAAGAAGGCAAGAAAATGGGGGTGAAGCCAGAGAGAGTCTAGTGGGGAGGGTGTTTGCCTTGCACAAGGCTGACCCGGTTTGATCCCTGACGCTACCGACGATCCCCCAGTCCACAGCAGAAGTGAATCCTGGGTGCAGAGCCATGAGTAAGCCCCGCGTGCCACTGAGTGTGGCCCCAAACAGAACAAAATGCATCGGGGTAAAAGAGTTGGGAAGGCCAGGGAGACGGTGCATCGGGTAGGGTCCATGCCTGGCATGCGGCCAGCCATGATTTGATTCCCGGCATCCCATAGAGTCCCCCGAGCACCAGGTTCAGAGCCAAGAGTGACCTCTGAGCATCTGGGTGACCCAAAAGTCAAAACATGAAAGAGAAGAGGAGGAGGAGGAGGAGGAGAAGGGGAAGAGGAGGAGGAGAAGGAGAAGAAGAGGAAGAGGAGAAGGAGAAGGAGGAGGAGGAGGAGGAGCTGGGATAGCAGCCTGGGAAACAGGTGCCTTAAACTCATTTAAAACTGACTCATGATCTAGCCACCACGTGTGTGTGTGTGTGTGTGTGTGTGTGTGTGTGCGCGCGCGCGTGTGTTTAGGCATCGCACCCACCAGTGCTAGGGATTACTCTTGGCTCTGAGCTCAGCGATCACTCCTGACATGGCGAGGGGACCACAGGGGGTCCGAGGATCAAACCTGGGCCAGCCAAGTACAAGGCCAGTGCCCCCCCATCTACCCTTCCATAAACCTGCAGGACCTCACACGTGCCCTCTTTCATTAGAACCCCACCCTCATCCCCGCCCCCTCAAAAGCTGGGAACCACTGGCTCGCTCTTCCTCCTCCCTCCTCACCCTTCCTCTGACGAAAATAATTCCTACATAGATAGGCTGTGAAATCACTACTGGCAGTGCTCAGGGGGCAGTACCGGAGGTCAAACCTGGATCTCCATACAACACAGGGGTCCCCATTCCCGGAGACTTCTCCCTGGCCCAGAATCTTGGGCTTTCGTAACCCCTGGTCATTGAGATCATTTTTATTTATTTATTTATTTTTGCTTCCTGGGTCACACCCAGCCGATGCTCAGGGGTTCCTCCTGGCTCTGCGCTCGGGAATCACTCCTGGCGGTGCTTGGGGGACCACATGGGATGCTGGGAATCGAACCCGGGTCGGCCGCATGCAAGGCCAACGCCTACCCGCTGTGCTATGGCTCCAGCCCCGAGATCATTTTTTGAACAGGGAACCTCTTCCTCCATGTAAGACACGTATCACAAACGGTGCAGCCAGTCCTGGTGAGGGTGCACTAGGTTTTGATTTGGGGGGCCACACCTGACTGTGCTCAGGACTTACTTCTGGCTCTGCACTCAGAGATCCCTCCCGGAAGACTCCACCTGGGCCCTTCTAGTCTCCACATCCCCACCAGGAGTGAGCATCCGGAGGCAGGAGTAAGCCCTGAGCACTGCAAGATGCAGCCCAGAAACTACAGCAAAAAAGGGAACAATAGTGCCGCGGGTAGGAAGTCAGCCTGGAAGGTGGCTGAGCAGGGTTCGAGTCCTGACACCATGTGTGGTCTCCCAAACCCCTCCAGGAGTTGTCCCTGAGTGCAGAGCCAGGAGTCAGCCTTGAGCACTGCTGGGTATTGAGCGTGTGCACGCGCACACACACACACACACTTGTACATGCTTCATTTCCCACCTTTTTTTTTTTCCATCTGACTCCTTGTCTCAAAAAGTCAGGTGTCTCTGCCGGTCCTGTCCTCCCCACCCCAGCGAGACCCCAAGTCATCGCCCACGAACGGCTTAATGGCCTTGATCCCAGAGACTCAGAAACAAATCTCAAAACCCAGCAACTTTTTGCAGAAATGCGTCCGGACCCTTCAGTAGGTTACTGTCGCCGGGCCACCCCAGGGGGGAAAGGGTGTTGTCCCTCCGCCTGCTCCCCCTTGGTGGCTTGGTGGCCGTCATCCTCCAGAGGCCTTTGGACAGTCAGGTCTGGGTCTGCAGTTGATGAAACTTGTTGGGCCTCACAGGATGGGGGTGGAGTCGGGCTTGTCCTCTCCACCCCAGCGAGACCCCAAGTCATCGCCCACGAATGGCCTCTCTGGCTCCTGATCAAGCTGCTTAACGGCCATGATCCCAGAGACTCAGAAACAAATCTCAAAACCCAGTGGCTTTTGGCAGAAATCCCTCCAGATTTAAGTGTTAAAATTTCAGAATTTCAAAATCACACGGCCCTACTGCAGCCATGTGACATCATATGTTATTTATAACCAGCAATAGAACACAAATTGTCTATTGTTGCCTTTTCAGCAGATCTGAGTGTTGGGGTAAAATCCCAAATAATAATGGTGGGTCTGGTGTCGAAATAGTGAATGTGATCAAAGTAGAGAGAGAGTAATGTGGAAATCATCCGCCCCCCCCAGGGCAGGGGGAGGGTGTGGGATGGGGGTATACTGGGGTTTTTGTTGGTGGAGAATGGGCACTGGTGAAGGGACGGGTGTTTCATTGTATGACCGAGACTTAGACCCGAAAGCTTTGTAACTGCTCTCACAGTGATTCAATAAATAAAATTATAAAAAAATGGAAAAAAAAAGTCAGGTGTCTCTTCTGTATATCTTTTTCTTTGCATTTTGGGCCACACCTGGCAATGCTCAGGAGTCACTCCTGGCTCTACACTCAAGAATCGTTCCTGACAGTGGTCAGGGGACCACATGGGATGCTGGGGGGCAAAACCGGGTCAGCCACAAGCAAGGCAGCATCTTACCCGCTGTACTATCAGTCCAACCTGTTTGGTATCTCTTGGGATCCTCTGACTCAAACCATCTTCGAGACCTGGAGCAGAGGGAACATAACGGCCCTCCAACGTAAATCTAGGGTTTCCAGAGGGCCTGAAGTGTCTCAGGAACGTGCCTACTTGCAACGCGCCCAGCCTAAAACCTCCACGTCCTGGCAGTTCTCGGCAGTGATGTTCTGGGTGTCCCACTGTGAGGGGAAGGAAGCCGTGTGGGGCCTCAGGAAAAAGAAAGAAGGGAGGCAATGTGGGGACCATCAACAGGGACATTTCAACAGAGAAGAGCAGATTTCGCCAGCTAATGGCAAGTGAGCGGGCTGACGGCAGCAGAGGTCGGGAAGGAAGTGGCTGAGATTGGGCAAGTCAGGAGTTTCTGATCCTCCCGGTCCAGTATAACAGGAGACATGCGGGCAGGTGGCCCCATCGCCCGCCAAAAAGGACTGTGCTGGGCAGGCTGGACTTCTGGAGAGAGAGAGAGGAAACACGGCGCTCCGGTAGGTACTGGGGCTAAGTGTTCCTGTCTCCTCATTTCCCAGGCAGTAAGAGGAGCAGGTGAGGGGCTGGAGCGCTAGCACAGTGGGTAGGGTGTTTGCCTTGCATGCGGCCGAGCCGGGTTCGATTCCTCCGCCCCTCTTGGAGAGCCCAGCAAGTTATCGAGAGTATCCTGCCCGCATGGCAGAGCCTGGCAAGCTCCCTGTGGTGTATTTGATGTGCGAAAAACAGTAACAACAAGTCTCACAATTTATTGTGGGACGTTACTGGTGCCCACTCGAGCAAATCGATGAACAACAGAAGGACAGTGCTACTTGCTTTTTGGGTCACACCCAGCGATGCTCAGAGGTTCCTCCTGGCTCTGCACTCAGGAATTACTCCTGGCGGTGCTTGGGGGACCATAGGGGACACCGACACCGGGGATCGAACCCAGGTCGGCTGCGTGCAAGGCAATCGCCCTACCCACTGTGCTTCCGTTCCATCCCCCGGCAATTTCATTTTTATAGACAGAAAGTGAAGAGTGATATTTGGGGGCAGAACAGAAGTTTGGCCACACGTGGCCGTGCTCAGGGGCCTCTCCTGGCTCTGTTTGCAGGAGTCGTGGTACGTGGAGTGTGACACTTGCGAGGTGCCAGGCAGCACCTTAGCCCACCGAACTATCTTTCCAGCCCCGCAAAGGGGTATTTATGTGGATGAGAACTTAGAGCAATCAACTCTGAGAATGGGAAAGGACTAAGAGAACCAATGACGGTGGCAGGGATCTCGGGAGACGCATGCTGGAAATGGCTCCAGAGGCCGGCCGGTGAGCTCCTGGGCTGTTCGAGGGACCTATGTTAGGGGCTGGAGCAATAGTACAACCGGTAGGGCATGTTCCTTTTTTTTTTCTTTTTTCTTGGGTCACACCCGGCGATGCACAGGGGTTCCTCCTGGCTCTGCACTCAGGAATGACTCCTGGCGGTGCTCAGGGGACCCTGTGGGATGCTGGGAATCGAACCCGGCAAGGCAAACGCCCTCCCCGCTGTGCTAGCGCTCCATCCCCCTAGGGGCATGTTCCTTGCACACGGTTGACCCAGGTTCAATCCCTGGATCCCCATGGGGTCTCCCAAGCCCACAAGGAGAGACGTTTATCCTGACCACAGAGCCAGGATAAAGCCCTGAACACTGTTGGGTGTGACCCCCCCCCCCACAAAAAAAAAATAAAAAGAATACAAACCAAAGACAAATCGAGAGACTTGCTTGGGCCCAAATCAGGTTCTGACTCTCTCCGCTTCCACCCCGCCCCCAGCCTCCATCATGCCAAACGCTTCTGACGCCCACTTCTCCTGCTACCACGAGTCCGTGCTGGGCTATCGCTACGTGGCCGTGAGCTGGGGGGTGGCGGTGACCGTGACGGGCACCGTGGGCAACGTGCTCACCCTGCTGGCCTTGGCCGTCCAGCCCAAGCTCCGGACCCGCTTCAACCTGCTCATCGCCAACCTCACGGTGGCAGACCTGCTCTACTGCACCCTTCTGCAGCCCTTCTCCGTGGACTCCTACCTCCACCTGCGCTGGCGCAGCGGGCCCGCCTTCTGCAGGGTCTTCGGCTTCCTCCTCTTCACGGCGAACTCCGTCTCCATCCTCACGCTCTGCCTCATCGCCCTGGGGCGCTACCTCCTCATCGCCCACCCGAAGCTGTTTCCCCGAGTCTTCAGTGCCAGGGGGATGGGGCTGGCCCTGGCGGGCACGTGGGTGGTGGGCATGGCCAGCTTTGCCCCGCTCTGGCCCGTGTACGTCTTGGTGCCCGTCGTCTGCACCTGCAGCTTCGACCGCATCCGAGGCCGGCCCTACACCACCATCCTCATGGGCATCTACTTCGTGCTCGGCCTCAGCAGCGTGGGGGTCTTCTACTGCCTCATCCACCACCAGGTGAAGCGGGCGGCGCGGGCGCTGGGCCAGTACAAGCTGCGCCAGGCCAGCGTCCGCTCTGCTCACGTGGCCGGGACCGACGAGGCCGTCCCCGGTCGTTTTCAGGAACTGGACAGCGGGGTGGCGTCGGGGGGCCCCAGCGAAGGGATTTCACCGGAGCCGGTCAGCGCTGCCACCACCCAGACCCTGGAAGGGGACGCGGCAGAGGTGGGGAAACAGAGTCACGGTGTGGGCGCTACGCAGAGCACGGAGGAGAGCGCTCCCGGAGCGCCCGCCAAGGCCAGGCCGACGAGAGGAGCCCGGCGAGCGCAGGAGTCCCCGTCGGAGTTCGGGAAGGTGACCCGGATGTGCTTTGCCGTGTTCCTCTGCTTTGCCCTGAGCTACATCCCCTTCTTGCTGGTCAACATCCTGGACGCCAAGGCCCGGGCTCCCCGGGTTGTCCACATGTTCGCTGCCAACCTCACCTGGCTTAACAGCTGCATCAATCCTGTGCTCTACGCGGCCATGAACCGCCAGTTCCGTCAGGCCTACGGCTCCGTCCTGAGAAGGGGACCCCAGAGTTTCCGTCGGCTTCGCTAGAACTGGGTGCCGGCCACCAGAGTCCAGCACTCAGGTGGCCAACGGAGTCGATGCAGCTATGGCCTGAGGACATTGTCACGGACCCTTTGCCCCTCCCCCAAACCAGGCCTCTCCCTCTTCGGACCCACTCACTGTCCAGCCCTAGGCTCCCGAAGATGTACTGATTGTTATTAAATAAATAAAAGGACATTACTCTTTTTTTTGCTGTTTTGGGTCGCACCCGGCGATGCACAGGGGTTCCTCCTGGCTCTGCACTCAGGAACGACTCCCGGTGGTGCTCAGGGGACCCTATGGGATGCTGGGAATCGAACCCGGGTCGGCCGCGTGCGAGGCAAACGCCCTACCCGCTGTGCTGTCGCTCCACCCACTTAATGTCCTTTTAATGCTCAGGTGTGGTCTTGGTGGAGGAGTTAAGGGACCTGAGGAATGGTGCAGGGGAAGGGAGCCTCCGCCTTATAAGCGGAAGGTGAGTCCGACTCCCATCCTGGTGGCTCTGCTGCTTGAGTCTGGCACTCGACTGTGTGATCCCCAGGGCTGCAGCTGATTTTAGAGCACAGCCAGCCAGGCATGCGTGAGCACCACTGAAAGGGGCGTGCGCCCTTAGAATCACGGCAACCAGAAAGACGCGTGTGACAGGCAGGAAGTTCAAGCTCACTTGCACCTAAAGGAGCACCAAGCCTGGAGCACCAGGTGTGTGAGCACCTGGGAGCCCCACAGCTGAGGCGGTGCAGGGCCAGAGAGGTCACACAGCAGGGAAAGCTCCTGGCTTGCGTGCGCCCGACTCAGGTCCGATCCCCGGCAACCGCTATGGTCCTCCCCACCCGTAAGTCCAGTCAGGAGTGACTCCTGAGCACAGAGCCAGGAATAATCCCTGAGCACTGCTGGGTGTGACCCAAAAACGGAATGAAAAAAAGTGTGAAAACAGGGCAGCCAGGCACACATGCGTGAGTCCTGTTCGTCGCAACAACAGCACAGCGAACAAAGAAGAGGAAAGGAACGTAAAACGTGTATTTTTTAGGGGGGTGGCCACACCCAGCAGTGCTCAGGGGTTACCCCTGGCTCTGTACTCAGGAATTACTCCTGGAAGTGCTCAGGGGACCCTAGGGGGTGCCAGGGATCGGTGGGCTGTGTGCAAGGCAAGGACCACAGCTGCTGTAACTATCTCTCTAGCCTCCAAATAAAATAATTTGGGGGCTGGAGCGATAGCACAGCAGGTAGGGCATTTGCCTTGCCCGCAGCTGACCCGGGTTCGATTCCCAGCATCCCATAGGGTCCCCCGAGCATCGCCAGGAGTAATTCCTGAGTGCAGAGCCAGAAGTAGCCCCTATGCATCGCCAGGTGGGACCGAAAAAGAAAAAAATAAATAAATTTAAATCTGGAATTCGGATGCCTGCTACCATGTGTCCTGCAGACAGACAGACCGACAGACAGACAGATTCTAGGTAAGAGGGCTCCCTGGCCAGGCTGAGTGGAGCCCCTTCCTCCAGCTCCACCCCACACTCACGGGCATGCACATGCTTGAACTGAAAGCACCCGCGGCCACCAGGTGCCGCTGCTTCTCTGTGTTTCCTGTCTGGTTTCCCAGCCGAGGACAGATGGTGCTGGCGGGTCTGGGTGTCCAGAGACCATCCCCTTCCCCCCAGCAAGGGCAATGACCCAGGCATCTGCAACCATCGCTTCCCCCAAAAGCGTCGGGAGAAAAGAAAAGAACGTGACAGCTAAGGGCATGGCTGGACTGGAGGCGGGTGGGGGGCCCTGCCCTGGCCCCCAGATGTGCAAACAACCTTCGGGCTGCAGGCTGTCCCCTCGCGGCTCCCCAAACTCCACGGTTTGATAGAACAAAAGTGGATCCAGAGAGATTCAGGGAGGAGATAGAACAGGCCCGGGGTTCAATCCCCAGCACCACATAAGATCCTTGGAGGACCTCCCCAAGAGTGAGCCTTGAGCGCAGAGCCAGGAGGGAGCTGTTAGCACTGCCAGGTGCCCACCCCCCCTACCCCCACCCCAGAACAAAAGGGGGACGGGAGTAAACAGGTTCAGACAAGGGCATAAAGAAAAGCCACATTGAGATAGACAGACCCACACCCAACACTCCCAGGTTCCGGGACCCCTGCCTCCTGGAGATCACAGGTGTGTCCCATCCCTAAAATTCACAGCAGGTAACAGAGTTCCCCAGGGCAGCTCAGGGGCAGAACCGCTGCATTGCACAGCATGGGCAGGATCCTCACAACAACAAAAAGTATCTTATCGGGGCTGGAGCGATAGCTCAGTGAGTAGGGCCTTCGCCTTGCAAGCAGCTGGCCCGGGTTCGATTCCTCCGTCCCTCTCAGAGAGCCCGACAAGCTACGGAGAGTATCCCGCCCTCACTGCAGAGCCTGGCAAGCTGCCCGTGGCGTATTCGATATGTGAAAAACAGTAACAAGAAGTCTCACAATGGAGACGTTACTGGTGCTCTCTCGAGCAAACCGACGAACAACAGGAGGACAGTGCTACAGTGCTACTTATGTATGTGTGAGCACCATAACCAAATTATGTGTGAGTCCCGCCCAACACACACTCAAAATGTGCAAATACCACAAAACCACCGAAACTCTGGTTCACAGTGAAGGGAAGAAGGGTAGGAATCAGCAGTGACCGTGGCTTCAAGCTCAGGCTACTGAGGCAGGGGGCCCATACGGTTGCGGTGAACAGCAGGACTCAGAAAAGCCTGGGAGTAGGGCTGGAGTGCTAGTCCAGCAGGAGGGCATGTGCAAGCCCTCCCGGGTCTGATCCCTGACATTCCATATGGAGTGATTCCTGAATGCAGAGCCAGGAGTAACCCCTCAGCATCACCAGGTGTTAAAAGCAAAAAAGGGGGGCAGGAGCCATAGCACAGCAGGTAGGGCATTTGCCTTGCATGCAGCCGACCTGGGTTCGATTCCCAGCATCCCATACAGTCCCCCGAGCACCGCCAGGAGTAATTCCTGAGTGCAGTGCCAGGAGTAACCCCTGTGCATCGCCTGGTGTGACCCTGTCACTGTCACTGTCCTCCCGCTGTTCATCGATTTGCTCGAGCGGGCCCAGTTACGTCTCCATCATGAGACTTGTTGTTACCGTGTTTGGCATATTGAACACGTCACGGGGAGCTTGCCAGGCTCTGCCGTGCGGGCGAGATACTCTCGGTAGCTTGCCGGGCTCTCCGAGAGGGGCAGAGGAATCGAACTCGGGTCGGCCACGTTGGCTGCGTGTAAGGCAAACGCCCTACCGCTGTGCTATCTGCTATCGCTCCAGACCCAAAAAGCAAAAAAAAAAAAAAAAAAGAGAGAAAGAAAGAAAGAAAGCTAGCAAGCAAGCAAACAAGCCTGGGAGTGTAGACAAAGGGTGTTCTGCAGGGCTCTCTGATCTTATCTCTGTGAACTTGAACTGGAAGAATCCTGGCCCATCCCGGCCCCCTTGGGTCTTGTCATCCAGAGAAGTGGGCATGGACTGGAGCAATAGCACAGCAAGTAAGGCACTTGCACTCGGCTTACCTGGGTCCGATTCTCAGCATTCCATATGGTCCTATTAGCCCCAGGAGTAAACCCGGAGCACTGCCAGGTGTGGCCAAAAAATAAAACACACACACACACACACACACACACACACACACACAGTACATTCTTACTATGTAACCCCTGCTGTCCTAAATCCCCAAAATACCATGTAACCCTCATCAAATTTATCCCTGAAGTCTCCACTCTAAGATCCTTCTTATAAATAAAACATTGAGGCTTGTGCTTTCAAGCCCCTGGTCTCTCTTGAACACGTACCTTATTTGCTTGTCGCTATAATATATATATGTATATGTATATATATATATATATGTTTTTTTGCTTGCCTATTTCCTCTCTGGAGAAAAGCAAGTGTGTGTTTTCCTTGATCACACACTTTCTTCTCCCTCTTCTCGCATTTTTCTAACTAAGCCTCAATAATAACAATCTTGCTTCACACACACACGGTGGGGGAACCCTTGAGGGGGCAGGAGAGATCGTGCAGTTGATAAGGTGCTCGCCTTGCCCACAGCCAACCTGGGTTTCATCCCCAGGACCCCACATATGGTCCCCTGGGCACCACAAGGAGTGACCTCTGAATGCAGAGCCAGGAGTAATCCCTGAGCACGGTCAGATGTGCCCCCCAAACAAACAAACAAAAATCCTCGAAGCAAGTGAGCAGGGGTCTCTAAAAGTCCTCCCTGCAGGCGCCTTCGAAGAGCCTAAAACTTGGCAGTTCCCTAAGGGTTGTAAAACAGTTCCAGGGGTCATTTGAAAGTTTTGGCAAGTGGGGGTCAGGAAAAGGCTCAAGACAGGCTGGACCACATACCCTGGAGCCCCAGGGATAAGAGGCTCTGGTCCCCACCATCACGTGAAAGGGAGCAACCTCAGAACAAGGAGTAGCTGTGTAACTCCAGAGCAACCCCTATGTGCTTTTTTGCGTTTTTTTTGTTTTCTTTTTGGGTCACACCCTGCAATGTACAGGGATTATTGCTGACTCATGCACTTGGGAATTACTCCTGGCGGTGCTCAGGGGACCCTATGGGATGCTGGGAACTGACCAAACGCCCTACCCGCTGTGAGGTGAGGACTGAGGTTAGACGTCAGAAGGGACTTCCCCACTCTGTTTCTGGAGGAAAAAATGACTCAGCGGACACAGGAAGGAGTCTGAGGCCAGAGAGGGAAGATCTGAGCGAGAAAGACACCCCTTCCTCCCTCAGGCCCTTCAGGCTCACACACCCATCCCAGCCCTAACTGGGATGGGGAAAGGGTTGTTAAAAAAAAGTCAGGTTTTGGGGCTGCAGCGATAACACAGCAGGGAGGAGGGCGTTTGCCTTGCACACAGCCGACCCGGGGTTCGATTCCCAGCATCCCATGTGGTCCCCTGAGCACCGCCAGGAGTCATTCCTGAGTGCATGAGCCAGGAGTGACCCCTGTGCATCGCGGGGTCAGGTGTTTTGGATCCAAAAAGCAAAAAAAAAAAAAGGGGGG